AGCGGCGTGGTGGTGGTGGTAGGAGGGAATTTTTACAAAATTATTCACTGGGGGGCTTGAGTCGCACATGGGGGAGATATATTTTGTGGCAGAGTGCCAGGAGAGAGAGAGATTAAATTAGGAGTTGATCCAGGGAAAAGCCCTTGCGTCCGGAGTAACCTATTCCATTCTCGAGGCCGCTCGTGGATTTTGTAAAGGGCGTCCTTCGCGGGGAGTAGGAGGAGGGTGATGTCTCGATGCGTCTCTACGCCAGACAGGCAGATCGAGCTGGAGGACGAGGAGACGGGGGAAAAGAGGAGGAGGAGGCGGGCAATCGAGTGGTGGGGGGGGGGGGGCTGTGGAACGTTTTGGAACTTTGCCAGGCTGCGATTGGTTCGGGTGTGTTTCATTGATGGAGAGTTCATTAAAATCTGCAGTAGGAGAAGCTCACAATAGCGACCCCACTCAGTCCCTTTATTATTTCACTACGGGTGTAACGATTGCTCCCCCCCCCCCGCCCCTTAACAACAATCCCAAGCCTGGCGAAGTCGATGAATTGTCGCGATTCAAATAAAGGAATGATTGTTATTGTGTATTACCTTGTGAATATGTTACGTAAAACTAAACTATTCTTTTTTACTTTACCAGGTAAGGCCCACTGAGCGATACAATTATTTTTTTCAGAAGCGACCTGGCCACAAATGATAACTCAACGAAGTGGCTTATCATGTGGACATTTATCGCGGCCAAATACTCTCAACGCGTGGTGATGTTGGCTCTAAATGCGGAGGGACAAAACCGGAGGACCCGGATATAATTCGCGCGACCACGGGAAGAGAGAAAGACACACAGACTCCAAATATACAGCAGCATGCGTCAGGGTCGGGATCGAAACCACGACCTCTTGTATACAGGCGAGGTAGTTAACATCAGTTAGAGCGATTTTGAGCCCTCGATTCTTACGTGTTACACGTTAGACGTGCTGTTCAACGCGTGTACCATCAGCGTAGAGAATCAATTCCAGCCACGAACTTGTGTCAGTGGTCAGCGATATCTGAACTGGTCCTGCCCCCCACCCTTTTGCCCCGCCCCCCTTAACCAACCTGCCATGACCTATGTGGTGAAGCATGGTCAAACACCCCCCCCCCCATGACTCTCTATGACACTGCTCTGTGTTGGTCTATGTCTATACCAAACAAAATATCCGTTGTTCTCTCTGCATCTCTTTCACTTCCTTTGTTTATTTCACTCGCTGTCTCTGCCTCTGTGTCTCCCACCGTGTCGTATTGTCTCTCTCCATGTAGAGCCCTACGACCCTTCTTCCCATTGTTTGCACAGCGCCTGAAAGAACATCGCCGTGACTTTGTACGCACATTTTCTGTAAAGCGGATACACGTGCCATCTGTAACCAGTCGATTACGGGGGAAGAGATAGTGTTCTTTAAACAGTTAATCTACCAGCAGCAGCTTCGAATAATATTGATTTCCAACTAAGAAGCAGGCACACCGTGACTTACTCTTGCTAATCTTGCCACAGGATCTTTAACACGCACCTCCGAACAAGCATACATCATTTCGGATATTTCTCCCACTGACATTCAGCTCACAGCAATTTGCCTTTAACGGGGATCGAACTTATGCGCCCGGTACCAACCGGCGTCGTGACACGTGCTGATCTCTCATGCAACCTGCTGCTGCGGAGCCACGTGCGGCCGTCTAAGGACTGCTTCGTGACGCGTCGTGTGTTAGGGAGCCACCGTTTCGTGTTCACCAGGTGCGTTGCGGCTCTTGAAATATTGAGGGCCTTTCTTTTTTTTGGACCGAATTCGAGAAAAATGCCACTTCTTGTAGTTGTTCTGGTTGCCGACCACTCGGCTAGGCAATCCATGCAAGACTGCCGCAGAGAATATGAGAGCACGTGGGTTTATATGACTCTTAAATGTCAATTCTAGATTTGAAGCTTTGGTGACTGCAAGGATTCATACTCTTAGTTCTTTCGGTAAAGTCATGTAGGTGACTTTACCGAAATAACCTACGTGACTTTACCGAAAGAACTAAGAGTATGAATCTTAAATGTCATTTCACGGTTCTGGGACAGCAACCAAAAGCTGATGGAATGACAGTGAGATGAAGGGCTCCTAGAAGAGATCCAGACTCATCCCAGCTTAGCTTCCGAGATACGACGACATGGTGGCGCTTCTCAGGTGATTTCGTCCAGGGGCAAACGCACTCGGACTCGGACGTAACTTAGCCCGGCATGGAGCCACATTCACATCGGGAATGACCCCCTCGTCTGATTTCTGCCAAACAAAATTGCCGGTCTTTTTCCATCACCAACGACGGGAGGACATTGCCGATTTGATGTACGTCGGCTGTATCGCACAAGTTAATCAATGTGGCTCAAAACGTTGTTGACATACCAGAGGGGTGAATGGCTTCTCTACTTTACGCGTGTTTTTGTTTAAGTTCTCTGTGATGTTTTTTTTATTTTAACAAGTTATTAATTTTCGGCCACAGGTCGTAAATCTCACACCCCAATTCGCTTGCAATAGAGAAGTTAATTTGCTCTGCTCGGTCAGTCCTGCAAACTTATTTGCGACCTTTTAATGAACTCGGGCCAGCGACGTAAATCGGCTGTTGGGTGTTGTTTGTCCTCCATGCTTCGCCAGCGCTGCTCAGTTGCAGGTTGCTGAATCAAGGGCCCAACACTGATTTTCAGAGATGTATGTTGATCATCGGGCGAGTTGCATTTACTGGTGAAACGTCGTACTCAGATTGTAAATGTTGTGGGTTTACTCTCCAACACAGCGGCTGTACTAGTGACGAATTTGCACGTTCTGTTTACGTGACATACCTTACTAAGGGGCCATCCATTTAGTGCGTACGCATGGAGGGGGGAGGGGGGTGTTAACCCAAATGCGTACGCTTGCGTATGGGGGGTCTACTGACAATGTACGCAGAGGAAACGGGGGGGAGGGGGGTGAAGCCTCCATAATAATTTGTCTACATTGGCCTTCAAATGAGCCACAGTTCAGTTTCTTCAGCTGTCACGCAGCTCAGCAAAATAAGTGGCCAAGGTACGCAACTTAATTCTTTAATGCAGCCGGCGGTGGACTATCTGTTTGCTTAAACACGTTAATATTATTAATCCTTGATCGTTTCTACGTAGATTAAATATCTGCCGTTCAATAGGATTCGGTGGGGGACAATCGTCCGTACGCAGGTGGGGGGGGGGGGGGGGGAAAAAGTCCGCGTGCGTACAGGGGAAGGGGGGAGGGGTCAAGTTTTGACAGATTTTTTCGTACCTACTAAATGGATGGACTCTAATTGGCTGTGTCAGGTGGTAGCGGGTTTAACGACGCATTTCTATTTAAGCGATCTAACCCAAAAATAAACCCTAAATTATGAATAATATTGGTCGCGAAAGCCTACGTGTTAAACTGTTTAGTTTTACTTTAACAATCGCGTCTCTCCTCCCCATTGGCGTTGCTAACAAAATTGAAAAAACAACAAACCGGTTTGAGACGAATCAACTTGGTCTAACCCGGTTGACGGAGAAAAAAACCCCACACTCAACACCTCCACGTTTCTCAAAATCCCGGTTAAATGGACATCTTCCGACGCACTAAAACACCTCAACCTATACCAGAGGAGGGAAGCCTATTCATTTGTACTCTTTGGTTCTTTCGGTAAAGTCACGTCGGTAGAAAAATAAAATAAACAAAAATAATATATCACGACGTTTCGATCGCAACACAAGCGGTCATCCTCAGGCGAAAAAAAATCATCCAGCAGTGGAACTGCTGAACCAGGAAGAGCACCCTGTTTATTTATTTGTTTAAATCCAACGTTTGACCTCCAGTCTAGCAGCGGCATAGCTGAGCTTGTGTGTGTAGCCCTGGGGGTGCAATGGTTACAACGCGCGGAAGTGGGGGGGGGGGGGGTCACGTCGGCCCAGGCCCCCCTCTCCAATTTTAAAACCGCTTCGTAGCCCTGCGCCCCGGGGGGGGGAGGGGGGGCCTTTTCGGCGGCCCTGTTCGCACCGGCGCGCAATTGCACCGCCTGCGCCCTCCACAGGCACGCCACTGAAGCGGGGATTGACTCTCCTCTCTCTCTCTGTGTAACAGAAGGCCCCTGAGGAGGGGGGGAAAGGGAGCGCAGCAGCAGTAGCAGCAGCAGCGGAGGAGTTGGGAGGAGGAGGAGGAGGCCCCGTTATTCCCGAGGCAGGGAGCGCGGGGCGGGCGGGCGGGCGAGCGGGGGAAGCGGGCGGGACACGGGGAGAGGCGGTGCCGAAAACTTATAAAGACTACCCTGCACTCACTACCTTTACTACACCTATACAACTCACAGCTGTAAGTTGTGGCTGCTGTCGCTGCTGCTGCTGCTACGCCGTGGTTGCTGTTACCGCTGCGGCATCAGCCTGCAATCAGCGCAGCGTTGCAGAGCGCGAGGCCACGGGTGGGTGAGGGGGGTGGCGTCGCCTCCTCGCTCTCCGTCCACGCACTCGTCTCGTCTTCGAGACTGCGCGGGCTGCCTCGAGACATTTCGCAGCTGCTGCCGCCGCCGCTGTTGCTCGCGACCCCGCAACCAAACGCCGCCACGGGCAGCGGTCTCTTTAACACGCCACCGCGCAAGGCAAGTCGTCGTCTTCTTGCGCAGGCAGAGCGGCGTGCGCACACAGGAATAGAGTCGCACGCACAGTGCGCGTGTGTGTGTACGCGTGTACACGTGTGTGTGTGTACACGTGCGTGTGTACACGTGTGTGTGTGTACACGTGTGTCTATATATAGCGTGCGCAAGAGCAGCGCTCCGGGGCTGCTGCCGCTGCCGCCGCTGCGCTCCACGATGCCACACAGCGCCGGAGCAGCGCGAGAAGAAGAGACGGCGAACTGAATTCGACAGAAGTGGTGGTGGTATTGGGGGGGCTGTTTAGCGGACCGTGGACACAGTTGTACGTGGGGGGGGGGGGCACCACCAAGACAGAGGAACAGGGAGGTGGGAACCCAAACGAAGAGGGTGGGGTGGGTGTTGGAGGGTCGCGATCCGACTCTGGCAGAGAAGAAGAGGGGTGGGGGGCGGTAGCAGCGCAGCGAGCGCCTCTGCGCCGCTCCGATGGCGACACGGACCGAGCGAGGCGCTGACTCCTGCTCGCGGGGCCGTACGTCCGACACCGCCGGCGGCTTCGGCGGCTTTGGCGGCGCGGCGGCGCTGACCCTCGCCCTCCTCCTCCTGCTGCTCGCCACCCCGTGGCCGGGGGCCCTCGCTTGCTCCGGGCTGGCCGTGAACGAGTGCAGCTGCGCCGAGGAGCGTGCCAAGGGGCCCGCGCGGCACGCGGCTGCGCGCAGAGTGACCTGCTCGAGCGGCTCGCTCGGCGAGGTGCTGCCGCCCGGCGTGTTGCCCGCTCGCACCGTCACGCTGTGAGTAGCGGGGGGGGGGGGGGGCTTGGCGCGAGACGATTGGGGGCGGGGGGGGGGGCTAAGGGAAGGAATTGAGGGTAGACGGAATAAGAGGTCGGGGGATGTGGGTGCCGGTGGTGGGTGAGTGTTTGGGGGGTGTGGTGGGTGATTTGGGGGGCGAAGGAAGATACGGGAGGTTTACGTGGCAATGGGAGGATGTGGGCGAGTTTGGGAGACTTCAAGTCTAGGATAGAGAGCGGTGCGGTGTCTTGGAGCATCGAGTCAATATCGTCTTGTCGGGATGAGTACTGCACTGTATGGGGAGTGTAGTAGAGAGTGTGAAGTGTGGTAGAGAGTGTGGAGTGTGGTAGAGAGAGTGGAGTGTGGTAGAGAGAGTGGAGTGTGGTAGAGAGTGTGGAGTGTGGTAGAGAGTGTGGAGTGTGGTAGAGAGAGTGGAGTGTGGTAGTGAGAGTGGAGTGTGGTAGAGAGAGTGGAGTGTGGTAGAGAGAGTGGAGTGTGGTAGAGAGTGTGGTAGAGAAGTGGAGTGTGGTAGAGAGTGTGGAGTGTGGTAGAGAGAGTGGAGTGTGGTAGTGAGAGTGGAGTGTGGTAGAGAGAGTGGAGTGTGGTAGAGAGAGTGGAGTGTGGTAGAGAGTGTGGTAGAGAGAGTGGAGTGTGGTAGAGAGTGTGGAGTGTGGTAGAGAGTGTGGAGTGTGGTAGAGAGAGTGGAGTGTGGTAGTGAGTGTGGTAGTGAGTGTGGTAGAGAGTGTGGAGTGTGGTAGAGAGTGTGGAGTGTGGTAGAGAGAGTGGAGTGTGGTAGAGAGAGTGGAGTGTGGTAGAGAGTGTGGAGTGTGGTAGTGAGAGTGGAGTGTGGTACAGAGAGTGGAGTGTGGTAGAGAGTGTGGAGTGTGGTAGAGAGTGTGGCGTGTGGTAGAGAGAGTGGAGTGTGGTAGTGAGTGTGGAGTGTGGTAGAGAGTGTGGAGTGTGGTAGTGAGAGTGGAGTGTGGTAGAGAGAGTGGAGTGTGGTAGAGAGAGTGGAGTGTGGTAGAGAGTGGAGTGTGGTAGAGAGTGGAGTGTGGTAGAGAGTGTGGAGTGTAGTAGAGAGAGTGGAGTGTGGTAGAGAGAGTGGAGTGTGGTAGAGAGAGTGGAGTGTGGTAGTGAGTGTGGAGTGTGGTAGAGAGAGTGGAGTGTGGTAGAGAGTGTGGAGTGTGGTAGTGAGTGTGGAGTGTGGTAGAGAGTGTGGAGTGTGGTAGAGAGTGTGGAGTGTGGTAGTGAGTGTGGAGTGTGGTAGAGAGAGTGGAGTGTGGTAGAGAGAGTGGAGTGTGGTAGAGAGAGTGGAGTGTGGTAGAGAGTGTGGAGTGTGGTAGAGAGTGTGGAGTGTGGTAGAGAGTGTGGAGTGTGGTAGTGAGTGTGGAGTGTGGTAGAGAGTGTGGATTGTGGTAGAGAGTGTGGAGTGTGTTAGAGAGAGTGGAGTGTGGTAGTGAGTGTGGAGTGTGGTAGAGAGAGTGGAGTGTGGTAGAGAGTGTGGAGTGTGGTAGGCAGAGTGGAGTGTGGTACAGAGAGTGGAGTGTGGTAGAGAGAGTGGAGTGTGGTAGAGAGTGTGGAGTGTGGTAGAGAGAGTGGAGTGTGGTAGAGAGAGTGGAGTGTGGTAGAGAGAGTGGAGTGTGGTAGTGAGAGTGGAGTGTGGTAGAGAGAGTGGAGTGTGGTAGAGAGTGTGGAGTGTGGTAGAGAGTGTGGTAGAGAGAGTGGAGTGTGGTAGTGAGTGTGGAGTGCGGTAGTGAGAGTGGAGTGTGGTAGAGAGAGTGGAGTGTGGTAGAGAGTGTGGAGTGTGGTAGAGAGTGTGGTAGAGAGAGTGGAGTGTGGTAGTGAGTGTGGAGTGTGGTAGAGAGTGTGGAGTGTGGTAGAGAGAGTGGAGTGTGGTAGAGAGAGTGGAGTGTGGTAGAGAGAGTGGAGTGTGGTAGAGAGTGTGGAGTGTGGTAGTGAGTGTGGTAGTGAGTGTGGAGTGTGGTAGAGAGAGTGGGGTTTGGTAGAGAGAGTGGAGTGTGGTAGAGAGAGTGGAGTGTGGTAGAGAGAGTGGAGTGTGGTAGTGAGTCTGGTAGTGAGTGTGGAGTGTGGTAGTGAGTGTGGAGTGTGGTAGTGAGTGTGGAGTGTGGTAGTGAGTGTGGAGTGTGGTAGAGAGAGTGGAGTGTGGTACAGAGTGTGGAGTGTGGTAGTGAGTGTGGAGTGTGGTAGGGAGTGTGGAGTGTGGTAGGGAGTGTGGTAGTGAGAGTGGAGTGCGGTAGGGAGTGTGGAGTGTGGTAGTGAGTGTGGAGTGTGGTAGTGAGTGTGGAGTGTGGTAGGGAGTGTGGAGTGTGGTAGGGAGTGTGGAGTGTGGTAGTGAGTGTGGTAGTGAGAGTGGAGTGTGTTATATATAGAAAGAAACGGGTATTGTTTTGTGAGTGTAGTCACAGATGAGGTGTAATCTGCGTGTTGGGTTTCGGAACGCAGTGTCCGCGCGTGTGTTCTGCGTCTTCGCACGCCGTTCCATCTCTCCGCACACCTTTGCCGAAGCAAACTTCACAATCGGTTGACAACGACGCGTCACGCACGTCGCTCGCCATCGTCATCCTGGTGTGCGTCCTTCATGGGTGGTTCGCGAACAGGTTTTTTTTTCCCCCCCCGGAACAAAGTTGTCATCTTTGCGTAGCCCGGGCTTCATTTGCAACTCAGGCAGTAACATCGTCTCGAACGGTCACAACAATGAGTGCGTGAGCGCACCGCTTCAGCAAAAACGTGACGCTCGTCCCGCTGCTGACAGACGTGACCATCACCAAAGGGGATCACGTGGAGAGGGAGGCACTGCGAGTCTGCTGCGTCTTGCGTCTTTGCGCGACACTTCGACTCTCTCTCTTTCTCTCTCCGCACACCTTTCCCAAAGCCAAAATCAAGTTAGTAGTTCTCGTGTCGCCCTGTTTGCCGCTAACATCTCCGTTCGCTCTGTCGGCAAAAGGGCTTCTCAGACCCATCTCTCTGCCTAACCAAAACGGGGTGGGGGGGGGCGGTCACTTGTTGGTTACGTAAGCGCGCTCTGGTCGGCGCTCGTTTGTATTTCACGGCCGCACAATCGGCACGTGATTAACAAAGGCACGATTTCTGTGCTTAACATTCAACAATATCGTCCACAAAACAAAGACGAAGATCACCCCCCCCCCTTCAGCCTCCACCCCGTGTAGCCTTAACAGACTGTTGGGAGCGAGCAGCACCTACGAAGGCCGGCAGAAACCACGCCCGGCCGCCTTTGTCTCCCGAGTGGCGATATTTACTAGACACTGCACACTGCACCAGGTACTCATTTGAGGCTCAGTCGACCTAGGGGAGGCCCAGGACCGCTTCAGTGAATCGTCACCGGTGTTGGCCGTGAGCGGGAATCGAACTGGGATCGCTGGGTTCGTAGCGCGGCGCGCTAACTGCTGCACCACCGCTCCCCACGATCATAAGCAGACTCATTGTTCCATTCGTCACGCACATTGATCGGTCAAGATAGAGCTTCGGTACATCATAATTCAAACGTTAGATGATTAATTTGGCTACTTTGTCTGAGCCAAACGTCCCCATTCCCCCACGGGGCCAGTTGCGACATAATTATTCGCTAGATGATATTGTGTGACGCTCAAATAATTGGTGGTGGTGGCTCCCCTCCCTCCGTGTGTGCCACTCACGCGTGCGCTGATTAAGTAGCGTCTGCTGTGATCCATTCGTCCACGCACTTCTCCGTTGTCTAAATAAGCCGGATTCACACTCGCCGTGAGATACGAGGGGACTTGCGCGCTGCACAAACACCGTCTCTTTACTCTGGCTTTATTCTCGGCAAATAGAGGCCACGGTGGAAATTGTTATGCGCCGCTTAGCAGATAGTTGTGCATCCGGGAGATTATACAGCCCCGCGTGCGTGTGTGTGTGTGTGTCCGTGCGCGTGTGTGACTGTGGCACCCAGAGCTCTCACCTGCGTTGTGTCTCTCCCCACAGTTCTGACTCTCAAACAAGTTCTGTTTCTAACCTAATTCCTGTCTCTCACCTGCACTGTAGCCCTCACTGCCAGTCGGCCAGCTCTGCAAAGAACATTTCCCTTTTTCCCCGTGACAGAGGCCACTTTCCCACGTTAATCAGCCGCAGAGAGACTTACGTTCACTCCATGGGAATGGAATTCTCTCCCATCATTGAGTGTATTTACACCCCTGCAATTATACTCGCTAACAACTTGTAAAGTGCCATAGAGTATTCGCTCGCTCTCGCTAAGATCGAACGGCTCATCGGCGTGAGGAACTACGGACGAGTAGGGAAGGCAGCCAGGCGGTGAGCAGGCACCATATCCCTCCCCAAGGTCTGCGGTCCTCGATATATGGAGGTGTTGTCAGCCAATTAACGAGTGTTTACATGTGGAAGGAAATCGGAGCAGCAGGAGAAAACCCCTCGTGAAGTAGGAGAGGCTGTGGCGTGTCAATCAGGGCATGACCAAACATCCGGAACGAGACCTTCGTGAAATAAAAAAAAAATCTTGAGTTTCAAGTCTTGATTCTAGATTTGAAGCTTTCGTGACTGCAAGGATTCATACTCTTAGTTTTTTCGGTAAAGTCACGTAGGTAAAAAATGAAGTTAAAATTAATAAAAATAAATAATAATAAATCACAGATTTGGCTGTGATGGTCTCACATGATGACGGAGACTTGTGTTGCCTCCGAAACGTCGTGATTTTTGTTATTTTATTTTTATTAATTTTTATTTCATTTTTTACCTACGTGACTTTACCGAAAAAACTAAGAGTATATTTCAAGTCTTGAGTTTCGAGGGACTTTGCCAGTCCACTGCTGGATGATGGCCTCCCGTCACTAACCTGCACGCTGATCCGTGCAGGTTGGTGAAGGAGCCACCCAGGTCCGGTCCAGACATCACCACTGATTATTCGGCGGTGATATTATTCCTGGCCTGGAATCAAGCCCATCTGAGCCATAGGGCAGTGGTGTACTAACCACGGCCGTCACCATGCC